GGATGCTTACCCAGGCAAGGATTGAACCCCAGTCTACAGCGTAGAGGCAGAGATGTTACCCACTACACTATACCAACCAACATATTCCTCTTATTTCAAAATTTCTTGATTCTTTACATCAGATGGTTTTATTATGTACCCATGGTTTCTTTGAAAATAGCACGAACTAGAATTATTCTGTTTTTGCATTTGTCATATTTAAAGATCACCAAATTGTGTAGTTACTCAGTTTCATTCCAAATATTTAGATAAAAAAATCTAGTTTCCTATACGCTTTGTATCATGTCACACAATGTTGCCTCAAAGCAACAGAACCCCAAAAGACCCCTAAATGTATTATTTTTTTAAAAACTGTTTCAAATTTTAGTTTTCAGTCTCATATTATGCATGAAAGGTGAATCAAACATTGGCTACAGCTATGATTCCAATATCAGTGTGCATCCCTTGCTTACATCTACATTTTTGAGGTTGGTATTTACACGCATGTTGTTAGCAAGTAACAATGACAATCTTAACATTTGGCATGAGTGTTTGATATTCTCTTAAGTCTTTACAGAGATGTCACTTCCCAGACTTTTGAGGCAGAATGAAGATACAGTGCATTAATCTAAAAAAAAACAAAACAAAACAAAAAACAAACATTTGAAAGAAATGACGACATCTGTCATACATTCACATCCACAAAAAGTTACAAAAGTATGAAAAACCGTGAGTCTCATGTTACAGTTTTACTGAAAGGACATATAAGAGATGCTCCTCCGACATACTGAAAATGTGTGTGTGCGCACGCATCGTACCAAAACATAAAATCTTCCCCGAAGAGAGAATGACCTGAGAGCATGACAGCTGTGTTGAGGTAGGTTATCAAAAGGAAAAAAGGGATATAAGCACCAGGGCATTGTGGGATACTGGAGGATAGAGATGGTGCAGCATGGTGTTGTCTGTTGCCTTTTGCTCAAAGGAAACACCCTCAAACCCCTTCAAGAAGAGATAACTATGAGAAAATACAGCAGGTGGAGCGATGACTAGTATCACGTAGGCTAGCAGGACTGTTTTAGAGGCAGATGTAAGAATCTTAGAGTGGCTCAGCTGATAAAGAGCAGTTTATGGACTGGCCTCTTTTGTTTGAGCTGAAATGAAAACTACTCTGATAGCAGATTGGATTGCTTGGTATGCATGTGGCATAAGCACTGTTCAAGCTGGATTAGTGTTACGGAGGGAGGCTCTGTAAGGTCATTCGTAATGGATTTGAACATCTAGTTCATACAGGAAAGGATCTGTGTAATTTCCTCAGGTTTGAAATGCCATAGCTTGATGGTTTTTAGGTTACACAACAGTAAAGATGGGCAATATAATGTTATCGTCATATTGACAAATTATGTCATAATTTTTTTTTAAGAGTATGCCACTGGTGTTTCAGTACTTATAAAACACTGAACCACTGCTTGTTTCATAATAATATCATGTACACAACAATCATCAGTGTATAGTAAAAGCATAAACTGTATCGTAATAAGAAGCTGGTTGGATTTAAGTCCGTCATGCCATTATCTAATTTTGCTCATTTATTTTTTACCAATTGTTAGATTTTTCCATCTGTCTCACTCACTCACATTTAGCAGGCGGAAACTGTCCACAAGGGGCGCCATTAGCATTGAAATAGCTTTTGGTGCTTCATAAGAGTGGGGCTTTGCATCAGTGACACCCTTGTTAAACATGGCCTACCATGCTCTGATACTTCTGTCCTTTCCAGCTAGCTTGAAAAATCTTATGAAAGCTAAATATCATGATTTGTATCATGTATTGTGACAATTTCTTCAAGCTCTAGGTTCAGCCAATTACAGAAAGTCCTTTCCTTATTATTTTTTCCTTATTATATGTTATTTTACATATCATTACTGTCAGATATGTACAAATGTTTGACAAATTTAAAGTGAATTACCTAAAGGAAGATGCAAATTACAGAGGTAGGTTTCAACTACCTGTTATGTGCAAATTCCTGAAGATAATGTCACTTGCTTGTGCTGTAAGGCTGTATGGCTTGTTCCCCATGCGTGGGGAGATTTGAACCTTTGTTATCTCTCAGTAGAGTAGTTTTGACAGCCTTCTGTAAAGCGTACATGACTAAACAGTTTACAGATGCCGAGCGGAGTGGGCTGTAGCCTATTTAATGAGAGCTGAAGTTGCTGTCGCACTTCACTATCGTCCACTGAACCTCAGGTGAACATCAGCCAAGATGTAGCATTAATGATTTATCCGTCGCCCTGTTTGGTGCCATCAGATGGAACGAAAACATGTGCCTTTCATTCCCACTACGGCATAACTTATTTAAAAAATCTCCATCACCATTTTTCACGTTTCTCCTTTCCCGATAAACCAATTTTCCATGTTATCCAATTGTGAAACTTTTTTTTTTGGTTACATTTTTCGTGTATTATTTTACAATTTTCGGCTTTTTCATCCAGATTTTTTAAGTGCATTTTCGAAATTGACACAAAAGAGGTGAATGAAAAACTCAATTCAAAATCTGTGCTGACTTAAAATCATGCCCGTAATCCCTTTTATTTTCAGTACCTTCCCATGCAAATCTATTCCAGCTTAAAATGCTTCAAATAATAGATGAAAATGATGATCCCTGATCTGCCTGGCTCTAAGGAAACACAGTTGAGGAGCTGCCTGATGTTACCAAAAAAGGCCTTGTTTCTTTGCAACTGGACATATAAAATAAAAAGTTTTTAGTTCCCAATCCAATTAGGGTCAGTCTGGTGAATGATAGAGATATATATGTGTAGAATTGTCATGTTTGGGGCCATGTAATGTAGTTTTTGAGCTTGAAAGTATGGAAACTAAGGCTTAGGTGCTGTGAAACAACTACTGTTCTGCATCTACATTCTATGCCAGTGTGTACAGGCACAAATGTGAACCAGGTAAAACTGTAAAAGTTGTATGATGTTAATAATGCAGGTGTAAGGCCAAATGGGTGAGCATACTATGAGTAAAATGATGCACTGAATTTACATGATGCAAATGTGTACAACATTTCTACGCCAATAAAAAATTGCAACACTTTGAATTCTTTCAGTTTACTTGTATAATTGTGTTGATATGTTTTATTTAGGTAGAAATGATGTACATATTAGAATCTAGTGAATTCAGTGCATTGGGGTTTCACACTGTGCACATTTCTGTGGAACAAGGTGCTAATTTTCGGTAGTTTTCAATGGGAGAGATGTGGTTTCCTCATTGTTTGTTGCATTGTTGCATGTTGCGTTTGTGCGGAACGTGTGCAAGTAAATGGCCTGCAAGTCAAAGTGGTCAAGTGGCCTACATCATTAGTGTTTCTCTGTTATGAGCAATCAAATCAAAGTAAGGTGAGCCTTCGGTGACAGTTGTAAGGGAGGAGAGATTAGTGGTTGCTGTCATTGACTTAGCCTGAACTGTATGCTAGTTAGTTAACAGAAGCAGAAATGGTAGCTAGCTAGCACAGCTAATTGACAATTACAACAGAAACAGCTTTAAAAAATGCAGTGTGAACCCCGGCTTTACTCTTTTAAGCGCACCCTTGGAACGCCCACTCATGTACTCAGCATGATTCTCTTGAGTCTGGCAGCGCTATTGACTAACATGGGATGTTCGCGTGAAGATATGTGTTGGAGTGGCCGCTTGTGTATATATGGAAGTGTAGCGTTATGCTCTTTTCTAGGAGGGTGTTTGGGGGAGGAGCCAGCTTGGTAATTGATGGACAGGCCCTGTATTTCCTGTCTGAATTGTCCCAACAGGCCAGGATGATTGGATTTGTTATTTCTGTTGCTGTGTAACATGGCAGCATTGACTGACGACGCCCCACCATCAAAATCATATTACAGTGATGTCCTGCCATTTTAGAACCCAGTTATCTTCCACCAGGTCTATATTACCACCCCTAATATCGACACCCAGGCGGGCACCATGATAAATCTGTGCTTAAATCTCTTAAGTACATCATATATACATGAATACTGAATGAATTCCCGCCTGTTCTCTCTGCCATTTAATACAATTACTGAAGTCCAACACACGGTTTGTATATACATACAGTATAACTCAATGCATGTTCAACGCTGATGTATCTCGCCCTCCTTTCTCCTCCATGTAAATGGCATAAACATGGTGAATGGCAGAAAAATTATCCTGAAATCATTAGTAGCAGTGCAATGCATCTCTAACAGTCTTTTCATTGACTAAAGCAACTATGATTTGAAAAAAATACTTGGAAACGAATAAAAAAATAAAAAAAATCCTACACTATGGACACTATGGAAGAAAATGTCTTTACAAGCAGAATTCATACGATGTCATCTGTCAATTTGCATGAGGTACTGACATATCCAAACACATCAATTCATCAACATTGGGAAGCCAGGATCTCACAAAAAAAAGAGGATACATGTTTCATTATGAAAAAAAAGGACAACAACGACAACAACAACAGCATTGTTATCTTGAGGTAGAACATTGACTTCAACGTTTGGAAGTGCTATATGTTGGATTTTTTTTCTCGTTTCATTTTAACGAGTATGAAAGTGGTGGTTCTTGACATCTGAGGTAGCGCAGCACCTGTTTCTCTTTTTCTGAACGAACGCTTGACATGTAACAAAACCGAACAGACAAGAAGACACAGATCCGAAAAAAAGGCTTCCCGTAACACATTCATTCCGGCTGAGGTAGGTTTCTGTTGCAAATCCCAGGGTTCACGTAGCCAAGCCTAAAGCCCAAAGGCTGACGACTGATTAAAGAAAAATATATATTGATATCACGGAAAAAACATCCTGAGACAGAGTAAGAGTTTAAATCCCTGGAAGAAGGCCGTGGTCTTCACTGGATGGGGTTGTGAAGTCACTGATAGGCTGAGAGCACGCAGCAGGACGTTTTTTTTCTTTGAAACTAACATTTTAAAAAGTGTGGCAAAAAAAAACAAGAAAAACACTTTTGGAATGAAAAAAAAAGAAAATATGTGGACTATACGAGTGGAGACACCGTAGGTGTCTTTGCCCTGCTGCTCTTCTGAAGAGGGGTAAAGAAAAAAATCTCTCGGTTTCATCACCTTTCAATGAAGAAATCAGATGACCACGCCCACCATTAAGCCATATGGGCCCTCCCAGATATGGTGTCCAGCAATTCCCACGTGGGGAATATAACGTATATAAACTCTGCACAATAAAAAGAGGACAAAAAATAGGAAATACTTCAGTTGACCTGAGAGGGAGAGTAGTCTGAGTGGAATTTAAGGGCTTATAGCTCCACAGCCTTCATGTCATCAGCCTTCGTCCGGGAGGCCCCCTGTGGGTCGCCCGTGGTAATGTGACTCATGCTCCTCTACCAGGCTGAAGTCGTCCAGGGGAAGAGTGGACATCTGGGTCTCATTAAGGGAACAGGAGACCAGCAAGCTTTCCATCTGAAAACATGCATGCACACATACATTGGTTTTAATAGGTAATATACAGATGCACTAACCTCTATATATTGGATTCAACTGAGCTCTAATAGAGAAGGATAATCTCACCATAAATCAAAAAGGTAACTTTACAGCAAAAGGTGAAAATGGTCTTAACTTTTAATGCAAGTTAATGTAAAAAAGGTTTATTCCAAGAGACTTTGGAGCACTTCAATTGGTCCAAGTTTATACAATTTATGACAGCACTGGTGTGCTACATTTATTAATAAAATAGTAATACACTAGAAAAAATGTGTTCGAGGTATTTCTACGATCAGTTTGAGCGATTTGCGTCCTGATAATCAGTGGTAACTTATTTTGACTATGTCTTATGAACAATATAGCCCAAGTCAAAAAACATAAATATAAGGCAAAAACAATATGCAAATGCAACAAAAATATAAGTTTTTTATAAATTTTAATGACCAGTGGCATTTATAATATTACATATGAAGTACAGATGTCTCTGCAGAGGTAGTATAAATCAGACCTGGGATTTTAAAGGGAACACTACTGTGATTTCAAATCACAGGGAAAGTACCAGCTATGTTTCCCATAACTGTCTCATTTTTAGAACAGATGGCTTCATTTTGTTGTGACTGCTAAATGTTTCGTTAGCTAGCCAACACAGCTTGCCATAGGGACTTATTTAAGGAACAGAACATGTGCACAGTTGTAAAGGTTAGGAAGGATTTTCTGCTGACAGACGAGAGTTGGGAGCCATGGCAAAAATCCATACACACTAACTGTCCAAATGTAGCCAAACACCCCTTTAAAGTGGTGAATTTAGCTACTTTAACGTGCATCTACTGCTATTGCAGGCAAACAACTGTGCATACAGCATTTGTATATTCTGTAAAGAAAAGTATTGTACATAGAATGTGACACTTGTGAGCCTAAGATCACCATGCCCAATGCCAGGTGTACAGAGCTCCACAGCTTTGGCCTGTGAAGCAATGAAACTGTCTTCTCTTAAGTGACAGAACTCCACCCAATACTTTTAGAATGAGAACTAATCATCCAACATCAGTACCTAACCTCACTAATGCTCTAACGCAATCAAATCCTCACATCAATGTTCCAAAATCTAGTGTAAAGTCTTTCCAGAAGAGTAGAGGTATTCAAAGGGGGGACAAACTTACTATTAATGCTCTACATTTTGGAAGATGCTGGATGAGCCGGCGTCAAACTTTCAGACATATAGTGAATGACCTCAGATGCCCTTTTGGACATATTGTGTTGAAGCAGATTAAAATAAAGACATTCACATTACAGGTTTAAAGTGGAGTAGATATGTATAGATAATCAAATGGAACAATGTTATTGTTTAAATATTGTTATTAAAAAGTTAAAAATCATCATACATTATATGTTTACATCAAAAAGGCTTGTGATGTAAACAGAGCCCTAAATACTAAACCTCATTATGAAGCATGTTTAGCGCTCACCGTATGTGCAGCATCAGCTGAACCTGAGACAAGCCTCTCCCTCTGACTTGAGCCGGTCAGGCTCTTGGCTCCATGCCGGGCCCCGTTGGCCTCGGTGCTGGTGCTGTGCAGGCCGTTGAGGGCCAGCGCTCCCTGCTGAGACGAAGAGGCCTCCAGCATTGCTGCTGCTGTCGCTGGGTTCCGTCCCACCTGAGGAGTGGCCTGCACTGTCTTACATAACATTAGCCTGCAGAGAGAGAGAGGCATTACAGTTTGAGTGGTGTCGCGGTGTGTATGTCATGTATGTTCATATTCATACACTCTTAAGCAATATGCACACAAATATACACACAATATGAACACACACATGCATATATGATATCTGTTACAGCCTAGCTGTAGAGCCGTTGTGACTGGTTAGAGGGCTCATTGCAAATTGCATTTAGGCTTTATTTTTTTTCCAATATGTTAGAAGAATAGTGCACTAAACAGTAAAATGCCATATTTTAGTGTGTTCTCTGTAGAGGACGTGATACATTATTTTCACTTAGGAAATTAACAAAACACATCATTTGATTAGGTGTGCATACAACTTTGTATACAACTATATGTGTGTTTTTTTTCTTTCACTTGAAAAACTCCAGAGTCTGAAGATGTGCCTTCGGTTAAAAAATCAGCAAAACAAGCGCAGTACAGCAGTGCATATGGGTGCATGTGCATGTTCTCCTACCTGCCGCGGTAGCTGAACATGAGAAAGAGAACACAGAAGATGATGCAAGTGACTCCAATGTGGATGCCGATGATGATGCCAGTAGTAGAGGTTTTACTCTGCTCCTCTTTCAAACAGTCACAAGGAGTATTCAGCACTGTGCAGACAAAAGCACTGTTAGAACGCAGTACATAACACATTAAGGCTGGACAATAATAAGATAACGATAATTAATGATGTCTCTTTTACTTAATTTGATATTAGCAGCAAAGATTTCCGTGGCGATGTGCTGCTCAAGATGGCAATGGGTCCTTTTTACTTGCTAGACGAGGAAGAAGTCGTCTAGCTGTTTACTCACATCATCAGAAACTAGTGACTAACTACTCACTAACTAATTCATGATTTTAGTCTTAAATTCTGGTGCACTTTGAGGCAAATATAGGGGAGGATATTACTGTGGAATTATTTAGTTTCCTGAGTTCAATAACTATGCAAATACAAGTGCACAAATTTTGTCATTTCCTATATATTTATCTGTTAAAAATCTACTGCTTATCATACCATGGTCAAGAGAGAAGTGTGTATAATTCGAGGGCGTTACAATAACAATACTGAATTACATAAAAAGTATGTTAAGATTTTAGTCATATTGTCCAGCCCTAATACACATGTACAGTCTCATAATATATTCAATATTACACATGGGGTAAAACACAGCTGTGAGCCCCTCACACACACCAAAGCCATATATACAATTCAAACTCAGCACAGTGAAGACTGGACTCTTAAAGTCCACCTACATCATAAATCATAACACATCTTCCTTCCATACCATGATGTATGTAAAGTGTATTTCTGTGCGTTTCACTCAGTGATCAGGGGGTTTGGTGGCAGAAGGAAAAGAAATATGATATTACTGGTTAATATTATTCTTCCCTATCTGCTAGTGCGTGGTGAAAATCAGGTGTTTTAGAGGTGAACAGGGGTCATTACATTTTGATGGAAGATTAGGGGAAAAGAAGAATTTTGTTTTAAATATGATATGAAAAATCACAATTAATAGAACAAGAGTCATGAACTAACTAAGGTAAAAAAGGCTTGTTTTGAATTCTGGTTGACTTTAAAAGGATAGATCAGACAAAAATCTAATTTACACATTTAATCCATAGTTGACCAAGACATGTTTTGTGTTTAAGGTTTGCTTCTTGAGCTTTGCGCAGGAGCTATAAGGCTAATGTAGATTACAAAAATAATGGAAGTCTATGTCACTCTATTACTTGTACCACTTCTTAAAGAAGTGAACTTCAGACACCAGACATGTCTTGGCTGCTCAACTCCATTGTTGACTGGGGGGTTGTGTAAATTATAATAACGTTCTTTTAATGTGTCTGTGTGTACCAGGTGTGTGCGTGTTTAAGCCGACTCACCTGACTTCTCCACTGGCTCTTTCAGAGATACAAAGCGCAGAGTGGCATTGCCGTCTCCATGCTGATTAAATGCCAGGATCTTGATTTCATACACCACTGCTGGATCTAAAGAGAGGGCAATTACCTCACAGGCTGGGCACTGTCAAAGGTCATTTTAAACCAGAAGCCACAAAAAGTGCCAGAACTTTCTGTTCTTTCCGCTGTTACCACATTTGTTTTAGTAAGTAGGCAATAAGGCAATAATAATTTTATTATGAGCTGAATTTTTAATGATTTTAAAAGTGTGTATGGTCTTGTTTTGCAGGAAGAAAAGCAGAAAACATGTTAGTGTCATTCTTTCTGCTGCTAACTATGAAGTCAGTTACGTAATTACATTATTGGTCCAAAAGACCCCCCTTTTAATTAGTGAACTCAGCTACTTTAAGGTGCACTCACTGCTTGTACAGTCATCTCCATAGAAAAGCACTTCCAGTTGAAAGGGATGCTCTGAAGCAGAGCCTAAGGTCATCATGCCTATTGAGCTATAAAGCCCCCCAGCATTGGGCTGTGGAACTGTGGAACTGTGTTCTCTTTAGCGATGGAGCTCCATCCAATACCTTTGGGATGAGTGTATGGTCCAAAATTATCCAACATCAGAAGCTGACCTTACTAATGCTCTTGTAGCTGAATGCAATCAAATCCTCACAGCAATGTTCCAACATCTAGTGTAAAGCCCTCTGAGTAGAGTATTGGTTCACATAGTGAATGTAATTACATCTATCAGTGCAGCAAATCAATTAAAAAAGATCTAGGCTTCTAAGAATACTAAGATATTCTCTTTAGTGAGATTGGCTGAACTCAAGTTTCCTAGGCTCATACAGTAAACCATGCTATGATGTCTGGACTGTATCCTCAGGCCAGCACTGTAATAAGAAATAGCTCTTAATTGGCTAGCCTGCTTAAGCAAAGTTCAAATAAAATTTCTTTACTCTAATTATTCATAAAACCCACAAATGGGAAAACAACAACAACAACAAAAAGACATAAGATTATTAACAAAAATAACTGTATATACACTGGATTTTTTTCATTAGTCTACACGAGCACTGCGATCCTCAGTGGACAAACATATATTTTGAACTTCCTAAGATTTCTAAGCATGCTTGCAGCTTCTGACACGGCTCATTTATGGTGTCTACAAATCCCTGATCGCTCTTGGATAACGATGAATCTTAATGTGCGTACACAAATCGCATAACTGATGAACTGAGCGGGAAAATGAACAGGGACTTGCTCATGTCATGCTGCTGAGCACAATCCACTGGAATGAATAGAGACAGCAGCAATTTGTACGTACATGCACTGAACTTCAAATGTTCTTTCAAGCTGTATTTATAATAAAATATTTGACACAAGGGGTCTGTGGGCATCATCACATTAAATATTAATACATTTTAGGACTTTAATAGCACTTCAAATGTAAGTTAAGATCACATTTTATTTTTTAACACAGCTGTAAAGGCTTTGCCTATTTCTTAATTATTATAATATATTATTAACATTCTGAGTACTCACCCAGCAGAGAGATGTTGTACTGTGTGATGTTGCGGGAGAAGGTGAGGGGTCCGGTGAACAGCGGGGCGTGGGCTTTGCGGTAATACAGCTTAAATCCATCATGTTGGCCCATCTTTGTGGAGGGCTCCCAGACCACCTGCACCACAGTGGAGTTCACCACCTTAGTGTAGAGAGTTGGGGGTGCTGGTACTGCACAAACAAGAGAATAACACCTTCCTAATGTTACACACAATCTGTTACCAAGTACTAATGTGACTATAGCACAAACAGTAAATGCTGTTAAGACACAATGATTCACACATAGAGCTGTAAAAAAGTGATAATGTAATACATGCAGCACCTCAGAAATAATGTGATCAGGAAACGCAGTGATTCGTCTGTAATTGAGTTTTAAGACAGATGAAGAGCTATTAGAAAGTTGTGAATATTCTGCCTTACTGTCTGTGTCCTTGGTGTTTCACATTGTAATATCTCTTATTGACGCGTTTTCTTATATTTTTTTGATTAATAATTCTTACCCTCATATGAAGATATTTCTGAGGAACCTATATATATATATATATATATATATATTTTCTCATACTTTTATTCGTATTACACTTTTTAAAATTATACTATTCTGCATCAAGACTCCAAACGTCTTTCCTAACATGATCTCTTGAATGGACTGTTTATCAATGGTGATTATTGCGTAAGTGTTACGCACTAAGTGCTGTACCTGGCTTTATTAGAGGCACTTTAATGTGCTTTTATACCCTGCAGCAAATAAAATCTCTATTTATGAAAGATTGAACAATTTATACAGTAGAGACACTCACACAGACGAGAATTTAACTTAAGTGTGACAAGCATCTTGTTGCTTTTTCTCTCTTGCTCACTGTATGCTGCTACACAGTGATCCTCTGTGTCTAGAAGCAACATAATTACTTACTAATAAAATAATCAACAATTTGTTTAGAGGGTTGCATTATTCAATAAAACAGGCATGTGTGGGCTCATTTTGAGCCATTAGTTTGTGTGTATACGAAGCTTGTTTAAACAGACCAAATGTTCTTTCAATGTTACAAAGTCCAGCACCTTTTAAATTCATGCTAACATACAGTACCAGTCAAATGTTTAGACACACATATTCAATAAGAGTTTTCCTAGAATTTCCTTTAATTTTATTGTTTCTACATTTTAGAAAAATAAAGGAGGCATCAAAACTATGAAATAACATAATGATAAAATAATGAATTTCTTTTTTTTATTTACATCAAACTAGTAATAATGTGCTATAATGCAGCAAGAGATAACAATACATAAATAAAACTGCTATATGGCGCAATGACCGACTGAGTCACTCCCACAGTCACGTCCTAAGATTCAAGAGTCGAACGCACACTCAAAAAACAAACAAACAAACAAAAAAATCATGTTTCATAATTAACCATCATTTTAAATACATTTGTTACTGAGCCCAAAATATATCTGGTAGGTGGCAGCAGTATATTAATAGTCCAGATGTACACCACTCATGTAGTGTTAGCATTAGCTCAGCTGAATGGGTAGCCTCCATCACTCAAGTCTCATTCAAAATGAAAAAGTTTCAAAAGCTAAAGTTATAGCTTTAATCCTTAGCGACCGAAAAAGCAAGATTTTACCTTTGTGATTATTGGATAATAAAATATTCAACAGTATATTCTTCAAACGTTTGCTGATCATTTTTAGATCAAAATGTCTTTTACATTACGGAAAACATAACATCAAATTTACACATTTAGCAGACATTCTTATCCAGATTGACAATGACTTTTATACAGAGTGATACATTAGTAGTGTCGCCCAAGACTAAACTCTTCGTATACAGCAGGGACACTGATACCTGGATGGAGAATGGAACCTTCCAAGTGCAGGTCACAGTGTTCTCTTATCTAACCTCTAATTACATTCAATCCTACATCAGTAACATACATTCAAACAGGTTTATCTAAACTCTTGACACTTTTTCACACCCAATTATGGTGTTCCATTGTAAAATGCATTACAGACCACACTGAATTTTTGTTTTCAGACAAGAATTATCAGTGCTATATTATGATTGTTATAACCAGAGAAATAAATGAATGTTTTCTATTATACAGTACATATTACTCTTTTCAAAAACGAGTTATTTTCAAAATGGCTACAAATGGATACAAACTTAATGTGCACAAACTGAGTCACATACTAGTCACATCCTGATATGAATCAAAAATAATAACATGTGCAACATGCTTCCACTCACCCTCTCCCAACGTGCTCTCCTGAGCCATGGCTGAGGCTTTGCTGGCTCCACGTGAGGTGTAGGCCTTCACATAGAAGCTATAACTTGTGGAAGGCTCCAAATCCCCCACCACCTGCTGCAGAGTCACCTTACTCACTGCCTCCTGATACTCCATTTCCACCGGATCTGAGGGAGAAAGAGAGAACCAAACTTGCGATTAGCCACAGCTTTGCTAGTTCGCTAGCCACTTTTATGACTGGAGTAATTGTTTTATTTCCCCTTCATTTATGAGGAGATTATTGTTACAAAAGATCATCTATCCAATGAATGTCAGACACCCACTGTGCTGGGGGACAGGGGTTTACGCTTGGGGGCTTCTAACTGCAGGCAGAGGGAGTAAGCTACCACACTGATGGTGCTGCGAATATAGCTCCACAAATTAAATCCACATGCTTTTTTAAATTTGCCCAAAGTGTTATTCATAACAGGGTCATAAAAAATTCATAACAGGTTCATCACAGATTCATAGCAGGTCCCAGGTTCATACATGCCATCTGTCGCTTGAGTTTCTCTTTTTTCCCTTTGCTTTGTCTCTTTAAACAGCTCTGCCTCCAATACAAACCAAGAATGCTCACGCACAGCATTCAAGTTCTGCTTTTAACATCAATTATGTTAACATTCTTAGTATCTTCATACTTGGAATAGCACCAACGACAGCGAAATTGTATTTGCTGTCCAGAGCTTGCACCATTGGTTTTGCATGGGAACTACAAGGCTAAAGAAGCTAACAAGTAATGGAGGCTTGTGACCAACAATTAGCACTGTGCAAACAGCACAAACCTGCCAAAGAGTCTGTTAAGTAATCTCAAATAGACTCGCTTATGTGGGTTTTGATTCTGTATGACATACAGTTATCTATAAAAATGGACAGAAGTATGGACAAAATTCAGGCTTCAAGATGGCTGCTCCTACTCATCTTTAAACATAACAGCGTGTTGACAGTGTAAGAAACCACGTGAGCAAGTCTATTTGAAATTACTTGTCACATGTTGAAGCAAGTGTGATGAATAAGCTGTACAGCTTGCCTTATGGTGACTGGCGTCTATAAGGATCATTCTACTCAAGTAGTTCAAAATCAGAGATCAAAACACATTTCAGACGGATTTTAACTGATTTGACTAAAATTTGGACTGCGACACTTTTGCTCTGAATGACCCTCTACCTTAATTATGTTTAGTTTTTTTAAACAAATGCTTGATGCTACCGAAACAACCATAACACTACCAAACTACCTTGCCAGGCGTTGTGACTGTTTCAGTAGTGACTCAAAAACACTAGCCAGTAGATGACTAGCAAACACAGGTTTGAACAGTTGCACACAATAAAATCAAAATATTTTTCATTAAAACACAAAAACGTTTACTTTATTGCAGAAAATTTGTTTTGGTAGTGACAATTTTTAATGTTTCACACTGATTTTCAGACATTGGGACTCATTTACTTCCAAGCAATGGAATCTAACTGTTCCATGTGGCCATGAGGGACAGGGATGCAGTCTCACTTCCTGCTCTAAAATGCAGGGGTGTGGCTAAAATAAGGCTCCGCCTTTGGACTAAAACTCTGTGTTTCGGTAGTGACATGAAAATGTGGGACAGCACTTTTTGACTAAAGTAAACTCATGATAAATCTAAATTTTTTACCCGGACTTGAAAAAGAAATCAAAAAGATCTCATTGAAGATAAAAACTCTTTAAAAAAAGCGGGAGAACCCTATAAATGATGTTATATACATTGTATACATCTCAGTTAATGCCTTGGGTTTAAATAGATCTTAATAGAACCCTTGTAAAAATATAAGGTCTGAATCTTTTTTTGAGCCTTTTACCACTTTTGTAGATTGGTCCATACTGGCTTCCATTACTTGTCAGCTACATTAACCTCATCGCTCCAATGCAAAAGGTAGACAAGCAAAATCAGATACCAAATATTTTGCTGTTCAACTACATTTGGAGCAAGAGAGAAACTGTGCTTTCCTGTAAGGCAGTGATACTTCATTTTAAATTCAGCTATTACAGGCCTCACTAATATATTTCTCTTGAACACAGCTTGATAAATCACATACCTGCGGTCTTGCGGATATGCAGCACATAGCCAATGATGTCCTGTGTGTTCTGGGCTGGTTCGTTCCATGACACCTGGATGGAGGTGGGCGAGAGGGCATCAGCCCGGACATCTGTGGGTACACCTGGCAGCCCGTCGGCCCACAGCACAGTAAGACGCGCGCTAGCCTGAGAGGAGCCAGCGCTGTTCTCCGCTATGCACTGGTATATGGCCTCGTCCTCCTGACTGATGCTGTAGATGGTCAGTGTACTGCAAGGAGAGGAGTGACAGAGAGAAATTAGCATTTAGCAAAAACAGGGCTTGGCTGGAGTTTGGAAAAATGTTTTTGATAGGCATTTGTGTTTTGATAGTGAGATGAAAACGTGGCACTTTCTGATTCAGCTTTAAATCTTTAAATCTGATTCTTTTAAAATCTAAAAGTCTAAATTCTACAAGCGTTGGTTGCCATAAAAGCTGCTGTGGTCAATTCACTTTGGTCATTAAGTGCTTTGACACTTGGGCACATCGTCATACTCATTCAGTCAAACAAGTAATTGAGTAATTTACTGCCTGTGTAGTAAAGTGACATGTAAAAAAACAAATGCCTTCAAAAAAAAAGATAATTAGGTAAAACATGCCTGAGTGTCAAAGGACTTAATGACCAAAGGGATAAAGTGAGGTAATTTTTTATTTTGGTTGTCCAGAAATAAGGCGTTTTACTGAAATGTTTTACTGAAATGAGGACTTTTATTTTGAAAAATGTATCTCAATAAAAGGACATAGTAGTCCATATTAGTATCATGTAAAACATGTATACTTCATAAATGTTGACTTAAACATTCATTAAAATGTTGTGAAGTGTTTATGTAAGATGTTATGAACGTGTTATGTAGATAACCTTAAAGTGTTACCTAAATTTTTACCACAAACGACATACTGTGCAGCCCTCATATTGTATGAACATTGTGAGAAAGTGTTTCAGATTTGTAGACAAACTCTTCTTAAATCTGTTTTAAATGTAAACGTTTCAGTCGGAGTTCAGCTGGAGTTTATGCAAATGCAAATGAAAGGAAGTCCCTTTCTGCCAGACTGGCCTGACCCTGTCCTGATGATGGATATGATGTTTGAAGTATTCACAGTGCATGAATCAACACGATCGATTGTGTAATGGCAGCTGCTAAGATAACGTTACTCCTTTAGACTGCATTCAGAGAAAGAGAAAGAGAGAGAAAGGGGGGAAGAGGAAGAGAAGGAGGCAGAAAGCTTGTCACAGAGGGAGGGAGAAAGCCAGTCACAGGCATTCTAAGAAGTACAGACAGACGCACCGTCAAAGTAGCAAAAAACCCCCCACAAAGCCCCCTGTACCTAAAAAATAAACCCAAACGGAGCCTTTGTGTGTGTGTGTGTGCAGCATGAGGGGGTGTGACAGCTCGACAGTGAACACACTGAATACTGGAGATGACAGAACAGCACAGAAACACTGAAAGGCCCCATCAGTGAGCCTCCAAATATTCAGCAACATCACCACACCACACCCATCTGCCAAAAACACCACTCTGTTTCTACAGCTCCCTGCCATCCTGCCATCCCTCCACTCCCCCTCTTCCTCACCCTGTGTGTGTGTGTGTGTGTGTGTGTGTGTCTAGGAGGGTATTATTAGTGCTGAATACGTAATCAGGTATTTTTTTCTCTTAATCCTGCGGCGATGAGAAAATAAAACATTTAACAGTTGAAGGTGCAGAATACGGAAATATGGAAATGAGAGCTGTCAGCTTCCTACAGCTCTCTCTCCCCCTTTCCTCACTTTCCTTTTCCTCCTCCTCTCTCTCTATTTCCTTTCCCCCTACCTTTCTCTCTCTCCCTCTCTCATTTTCCACTTCCTTCGCTCTCTATCTCTTTCACCCTTCTCGCTTTGTCCTCCTTCTCTCACTCTCACTTTTTCTGTTGCTCTATTTCTCCCTCTCTCTTTCTCCCACTCTCTTCCTCTTCCTTTCTTTCTCCCCCTCCTCTCTCTGTCTTTCTTTCTTTGTCTCTCCTCTCCTATTCCTTTCTTCTTTCTGTCCCCTTCTCTTGCTCTCTCTGCATCTTCACCTCTTCATTTCTTTCTTTTTTCTTTCTCTCTGCTCCCCCTCTGATTTTCCTCTTTCCACTTTCTCCTCTTTACCTCTTTTTCTTTCTCTGCCACTCTTTCTTTCTTTTTTCTCTCACTCCCTTTTTTCTAGCATTGTCTCTTTCACTCCATCTTTTTTCTTCTCTTACCTTTACTAACTACCCATTCCTTACTCTATTACTTTCTATTTCCCCAGTGTCATTCTCTCTCTCTCTGTCTCACTCGTCTTCTTCTTCCTCCTCTTTTTCTCTTACTCCAACACTTCCATTCTTTTTTCCTTCTTTTTACTGTCTTTCGCTCCATCTTTCTCCCTTTTGCTTTCTTCTTCCTCTCTCACTTCCTACCTTTCTTTTTCTGTCACTCTATTTATATTCTCTTTCTTCTCTTTCTCTTACTCTACCTCTTCCTTTCTCTTTCTTTTTCCTGTCATTCTCTCTTTCTGTCTCTCTCTCATTTTCTTCTTTCTCCATCACTCCACCTCACTCTTTCTATTTTTCCATCTGTCCTTCTCTCCCTTCTCTCTTCTGTCTCTCACTCTCTATCTCTTCCTTCCTCATTTCTCTCCCTCTCTTTCTTTGGCCAAATCCCATTTCACCCCTCACCCCTACCACTTAGCCCTTAGCCCTCTGTTTGTGCGTTCACATCTAGGGTTAGGGTGTCCCGATTTTTGTTGAGATAGAGGGGTAGGGTGAAGTGTTAGGGCTACATGGCCCCCCAGACTGAGGTTTTAGAGGCACACTCCAAACAGAGTGTTACGAGGAAAAGAAAAACCAGCAAGATGGCTGCACACGCAACCAAAGAAAACATAAATGTGAGAATTTTCTCTGGTAAAATATATGATAATCATTGTATTATGTTAGTTTTATGTCGTTTTAATGTATTATGGCCCTTTTCTTCATAACAAGCACACAACATTGCTAGCAGTATGCTAATGTCTCAGTAGCGAATTAGCTAAATTTCACGTTCCACCTTAAATAGTCCAGCAGCATTGAGGCCTGAAGCGCCAGAATATACCTGCTGCTCGATTTGAGGTGGAACAAGAACTTCAAATGAGAAGTTGGTAAATAGCTGACTTCAGCTTCATGTCACTGAAGAATTAGGGGTGGGCAATAATAAATAATTGTCACATCCCCCCTCTTTAAAGGCATATGATTCCCTAAGTGTAACTAAAGACCAGCAGTGAGGCTGCTGAACTTTACCCTCCTCTGCTATCACTGCAGACTGGCAGGGTTGCCTGTTTTCTCTCTCACAGTGTTTCTGTTGTATTATAGCAGATAGCCAGCTTGTGGCAGTGTGTGTGTGAGAATGGAGTATTGGTTTGTATTTATCTGAAAACATTCCCACCTTTTCATTCTTTTCATTCCTCCAACAGTTTGATATTAGAAATTAACATGACTTTTGTTTTAGATTTATAGGTCTCTCTCCATGCAAAGAGATAAGAGCCTGGAGCAAAGAGATATGCATGAGTGGAAACATATATAATCTTTGCTGGAAATAATGACCTGAAGGCTTTTACAAGATGGCCATAGAGTGGACAGACATTCCTTTAAGGATTTTGGTTGAACTGCTGCACCATTTAAGTTGGAACGGGAAAATCTGAACAAGGAGCTGACTCCAGCTTTGTGTCAAAGTGGTTAGCCCACATGTACAGGTTTCTGCTGACTGTAGCTGGGATGCTGCCATCAAAAATAAACTTTATCCACTCAGGTGCAGCTGACAACAGAACAGTCCCTGTGCTTAGCTCTTAGCTTCGACATAATGCTAACGGCTCCGGCGTCTGTGAAAAAAAAAATTACACACCTTAGCAAAGGTAGTTCTCAAGCAGTGGGTGGAGATACTCAGATGGGGGGCGGTATAATTCTAATGAACCTGCACTTGACGTAGAAAGAGGCATCTAAAGCTTGTTGAATCCCATGTTTTCTCACTGAGTTGTCTTATGTTAGTTTGTGGATCGCCGGGCACTTTACATACCCACATGTGTGCACAAACGCGCAAAAACAAGAACGTTTTTCATAATATGACTCCTTTTAATAAGTCAGGATTTATTATTGATGTTTTGCTATAAATTTGATTTATATTACATACTAATTACATTTCTACATAATTAATCATTAGGGTTTGACCAATATGACAATTTTGTGTCCAACACTGCTTTCAGGGGCAAAAAATTCTGATAATCAATAGTATTGGCTGATATAATTATTATACACTCCTTGAAGGTTTGGAATCATTAGCCACGTTTAAATGCCGCCTGATAATCCGTTAATAATCTGACTAACATGCCTCCATGTATACGCCTCAGTCGGACTAGACTGGTCCAATTGAAGCCATTCGGAATACAATTTCAATCCATTTGAATGAGGTGGGTAATCCTGTAAATAATCCATTAAGCAGAACAATAATAACCATGTAAACGCCTGTATCTGATTACATCCACAGTCAGAAAGTTTAAGTAGGTTCTGCGCATGTGCATCGCATCATAGCTAAAGTTCATAACGTTTAGCATGGCGGGAGCAGAAACTGGTCTGTAGAGGAGAGGAAGTTTGCTGCTTTGAACTTCAAAAGATGGTGGTGGGACTGGCGTCCAGCTGATGTGTCTCAGAACACGACGTCTTCCTCTCGCCCTTCTTTAATAAGTACATGTGAAGTATGTTTTCCTGAAGATGCCATCATTTTATTGTAATTAAAAACACAAGCGCACCAGCTGAAAACTCACGTATCGCACTGTTGCTCATCTCACGCTGACCGCTGACTGGACTCACGTGATGCTCATTGTCATAGTAACATCTACTCTTAAGTGGTACTCTGTGCACAGGCATCATTTTGGATTGGATTACTTGTAGTGCGCATGTAAACGGAGATTTTCCATCAGATTGTTGAATAGAGTGAGCATAAAAACACCTCAGTCTTAATCTGTAATCAGAATGTATTTAATCGGATTGGCAAAAATCTTGGCATGTAAACATTTACCAATTTTTTGTGCAGATGCTTGTATAATATGACTGTATTAAGAGGCTTGCACTCTACAGCTTTCTGTTACATCAGCTAACAGATGCCCACGTTGGCGAGCATCATGCTGACTGAAGGGGGAGGCAGAGGGGAAGGGGAGGGCACCCCTAGCCACCCTGTGGAAGCAAGACCAATTATGCTCTCCACAGCA